CCTTTGGGCAAGAAGAATTTATGTCATTCTTCATATAGGAGATTTGGAAATGCAGATTCAGAGGTAAGTAGAAATATGACTTCATATAGCTACCCCCCCTCCCCATGCACATTTTGAAATTTCAGTACATTTCTGTTATAATTCAAACCTCATAAGGGAAGACTGCAGGAAACAATCTTTTTAAATACTTTATTTCTTTATTGGGTGTTTTAAGATAAATCTGATAACATTTCAAGCATACAAACAACAATGTAACATTCTAGTATTATATCTTGTGTAAAAGAATGTTCTTCAGATATCGTATGTACTCTCCAGCGCCTCAGGATATGCACAGCCAAAAGGGAAGCCAAGGGTACCAGGACAGTGACAACCAAAGGAAATGTTCCAGGGGTGCAGCCCTCCTCAGATGAGGAAATCAGAGAAAACAGGTGGCGCACACACCTAGTGCATTATCCAAGGTTTATTGTAGGAATGAAATAATAAAAACATACTCACAAATGAAGCATGTATCTAAAAAGCATAGAAAAATGACAATGGCCACAACGGCAGGCAAGGTGTTCTCACTGTCAGTGCGGTCAAATGGCTGACGCGTTTCGGGGACGAATCCCCTGCCTCAGAGCTGATGACCAGCGAGGCTCTTTCTGTCCAACCTCTGATGACCAACCTCTGATGCTGATGTATGGACAGAAAGAGCCTCGCTGGTCATCAGCTCTGAGGCAGGGGATTCGTCCCCGAAACGCATCAGCTTTTTTACCGCACTGACAGTGAGAACATCTTGCCTGCCGTTGTGGCCATTGTCATTTTTCTATGCTTTTTAGATACATGCTTTGTTTGTGAGTATGTTTTTATTATTTTATTCCTACAATAAACCTTGGATAATGCACTAGGTGTATGCGCCACCTGTTTTCTCTCTATCCAGTGGCTGATTTCCCCATCTGAGGAGGGCTGCACCCCTGAAGCATTTCCTTTGGTTGACACTGTCCTGGTACCCTTGGCTTCCCTTTTGGCTGTGCATATCCTGAGGCACTGGAGAGTGCATACGATATCCGAAGAACAGTCTTTTACACAAGATATATAATACTAGAATGTTACATTTGTTGTTTGTATGCTTGAAATGCACTAGGTGTGTGCGCCACCTGTTTTCTCTCTAAAAGACTGTTCTTGTTTGTAGATATGTAGATATTTAGTAGTTCTACTTATGCACAGAAAGTCTTATCATAAATAAAGGGGTCGGGAAGCATTACACCCTAAAAGTAGAACTCAAGCTAAAACCATGTTTTGTTTGGACAGAGTGGGTGTTGCTGTCCCCTTTCTCTGGCAGTGGTAGCCTTCCCAATTGTTTGCAGCTTGGCCAGTAAAAATCTAGCGTTGGGCTTCCCACAACTGCAGTGACCTCCCACATACTTCAGTGAGATGTACCCGTACTGCAAGTGTAAAATCCCAATAAAGTCTGTAGGATATTAGTGTGCAGGTGTGGGTCCCGCATGCGAGGCTTTCTTATTTCATACCAAAGGCAGTTGGCAGTTGCCTCCCAAAGACATTTATTACTCTCATTGACAACCAACACAGGGGCATTTTTTACTCCTAATAAACACTGATGTCATTGCAATTTTGTATTTCCTCTGTAGCATATTTTATTCCCATTGACCACTGGTGCATGAGCATTTTTACTCCTACTGACCTCTTAAGAAAGGACTTTTTTTTTTTTTTACTACTAATGGCCAGTGATGCAGAGACATTTTTTTTTTGTTTTTAACTTACCTATGACCCCATGCCATTTTATTATTTTAAACTTGTTTTTTGCACCAGGACATTTTTTTACTCCTACTGCCAACAGCCCTCAGTCCCCCAACAGTCTGATGGACAGTGAGCTGGCCCTTTGTGTAGAAATGTTGATGACCCCCACATTGGCATTACCAAATCAAGTATTCCTTGCTTCCCATCCATAACAATTGCTGCCCCAGGCTGTTAGTCTAGGTAAAAAATTCAAAAGACTACAGCTCCTCTTTGTGAGTGTGTTAAGTTTTAATTGAACATTTGGCATTGGAACACAGGGGATGCAGCCCGCCTTTGGCTTACATTTAAGAATTATGTTAGTATACATTGAAACCCTAGCTACAAAATCTCCTTATTACAGATAACCTGATGTTCTAGAACACCATCTCCATGGCCTTTCAAATATAGAGGTCAAGTATGAAACAGAACTAAACGAAATACCTGTGAGTAAGTAGCTCAGCCTGACTTTGTCTGGACCATCTAAATATCCTATTCCTATAGTACATAGACAAACGCAATATGTTTATATTTAGTACATAAACCATTGCAGTATTATTACATTATATATTATATTATATACAGTTAATAAGTGTGTGTATGTGTATATATATATATAATATATATATATATATATATATATATATATATGTATATATAGTAATAATTGTCATCTTAGCAATAAAATGACTACAAAAAGGAATTCCACTTATTTATTGCATTTCAGCCAATGAATCTAAGTGTTATCTCTGCCTAAAATACAGGAAAATATAAAGACATAATTGTTTCTAACCTTATCTGAGTTTTCCCTTCATTGTCTTTTGTTAACACTAGGGGGAGTACTAACACTTGATGCTAAAGAGGGTTATGATTACTCAGCTCCACATTTATTTTTAGTAGAGTTGGAACAAAGAATTGTCCTGTAAAATATTTTATAAATGTGCTAAGAAATATGTGGAACTGGCTAATTTTACAGTTTACTGCAAATGATTGAAAACATTCAGATGTAGCATATTATTAAGAGATGAAAATGTGCTATAATGGGATCTAAAATATCTTGGACTGTGTCTAAGTTTTTGTTGTTTTCAAAAAAATTTCTGTATTTTCTATGCTGGTTTAGCAAAGATTTTATCTGGCTCGAAAATATGTTCAAGTGTATATAAAAGTAGCAATGAATTTCACTTATTTGCTTCCTTTTGGTCTGCCAACATGTCATTGAAAGCATTTTTGTTATATCTATTTGATAGCTGATAAAAAATACTTGGTGATCTCACCTGAAATCCATTGGTGTCCTGTGCACTCTACAGTCATATCTCACGCAGTCTTAGGTGTCTGTCCTGGTTACCTATGTGAACTACAGAACACCCTCTGTATTAGAGAGGGAGGTTTTCTGTAGTCCTATTCACTTCCTGCCATAAGGTGACAGTGCTGCTTTCCCATAAATATAGTGTAGTGAGTGAGTATTTTCACCCTAGAAAAGGAAATGTGTTACTGACAAAATCACTAGGTGAAAATAAAGGGGGAAAAAGCCCAAAAAAGAAATCTAATGCAGCCACCACATCTAAAGACTGATAAGCTGCAATATAATATTTTTTGTTTTTGGGTTTAGATACTTTTTTTTTTGACAATTTTGTATATTAGTTATGAGGGGCAATGCCAAGCTGTAGTTTCTAAACCGAGCAAAATCCTCTCTTGTATTAAAAGAGGTATAGACTCCAGAGAGAGAGATATCATATTACCCTGTACACATCATTAGTAATACCTCATCTGGAATATGCAGTTCAATTTTGGGCACCAATTCACAAAAAGAACATTGGGGAACTGGAGAAAGTACAGAGAAGGGCAACCAAACTGATAAGAGGCATGGAGGAGCTCAGCTATGAGGAAAGATTAGAGGAACTGAATTTATTCTCTTGAGAAGAGGAAATTAAGGGGGATATGATCAACATGTATAAATACATCAGTGGTTCATACAGTGAACTCGGTGTAGAGTTGTTCATCCTGAGGTCATCAATGGTTCATATAGTGAACTCGGTGTAGACTTGTTCACCCTGAGGTCATCACAGAGGACAAGGGAGGCACTCTTTATGTCTGGAGGAAAAGAGTTTTAATCTTCAAATATGGAAAGTTTTCTTCACAGTAGGAGCTGTGAAAATGTGGAATAGACTCCCCAAAGAGTTGGTTCTGGCCAACTCAGTGAATTGCTTTAAAAAAGGCCTGGATTCTTTCCTAGATACACATAATATAACTGGATATTAACATTTATAGGTAAAGTTGATACAGGGAATATCTGATTGCCTCTCGGGGGATCAGGAAGGAAATTTTTCCCCTGTTGGAGCAAACTGGATCATGCTTTGCTGGGTTTTTTGCCTTCCTCTGGGTATAGGATTATAACTTGTTTTTTTGTTTTTTATATGGTTGAACTGAATGGACTTTTGTCTTTTTTCAGCTAGACTAACTATGTAATTATGTAACATGTGGAAGGTGGTGGAGCTTTTAAGGAGAAAGTGGGGGAGAAGATGGTGGCAGTGGAGGGGAGGGGGTTGCATCTAGAGGTCAAAGCTGAAGAGGGGTGCAAGTGAGATGTGGATGGGGGATACAGAGGTAACAGCTGTGGAGGAAGGCTGAACTATGGGCTCTGTGTGTAGTGCACCCCTGAACGCTGCACACTGTATGCAGCTCAACCCTGAACTCTGCACCATTTACTTAGCGCACCTCCAAACTCTGCACATAGTGCACCCCTAAACTCTGCATTCTTCACAACTCTGTGTGTAAACCCCCACCCGAATTCTGCACTCTGTACATAATGCACTCCTGGTATTTAATGTTCCTTTAAGACCCTCCCACTCTTAGTGAAATTTGACCACACCCACTAATACAGTTTGGAGGGTGTGTGTGGGAGGGGAGGGGGGTTTGGGGGGTTGTGCTTGAGATTCTGCATCTATTTTCTGAGAAAAAAATTAAATGAAAAAATTTACAAAATAAAATGTAAAATCAGCCCAAGACACATTACGTACTATCAATGTGATATGTACCTTGTGTTGCCGGCTCTTGCTTTAGTTGATGTCTTCCTCCATACAAATATTACACCATTTTGACATTCCTAGCAGTTTGGTTGATCATTCTTGTTTTGTATAGCCCAAGTTTACTCCATATGTATTTTTATTCAGGACTGGAACACTACAACACAACAGCATTTATCCCAGATTCAGTTAAAAGATGACTATCAAGTCAAAGAGGTCCCTAAGCAAATGATCAATGAGGACAACATCAGTATTCTAGATATTAAGAGGTAACCCTTTATTTGTAATTTTTATGGAATGGTGCTTTATGCTTAAATTAAAATTCCGGATACCTCGTATATTTTTTATTAGACATACAAGTATACAGTATATGTCTAAAATACATATATTTTTACTGTACTCCTTGCCAAGTTTACTGCTTCCCAGCCAGCTCATTGGGCAGAGGTGAACATATCGATTTCCTATCCAGTCTAAAGGCTGGAAATATAGAGTTGACAAAGTAAACTGAATTGCTTAAAGTGTGTATTTATCAAGAACCTTTCCTGAAGTTTGGATAGAGAAGGGTAATGGTTAGAACCCCTGTCAGGTTCTTTTTATGTTATGTGCCCCATTTTAAGATTTATCAACACTTGTCTGGAAACACAACAGGAAGTGAGACAAAATCTCTCCAAAATATGGGGAAAGCCCATATAAGACTTCCCCACACTTTCTGTTCCAGTAACAACTGTAATTTGTATGATTTCCCTTCACTTCCTCTCTGGGTCATCTGGGCTGGTAGATCTCCCCAACAGGGGCATAGACATAGACTTCCAACTTTTTCTCTCTCTATTCAAAACAAAACATAAAAAAGTTCAGGATACACTTTATTCAGGAACCGTCACCTGTCTTAGTGTGGAAGTGTGTGTACATCACAAAAATGGCTGCAGAGAATTACAAATCCTTTGACAGATAAAACATATATGGATTGTGTTTAATGAGTTTGACTAGGTTCTGTTAGTGCACAATTCTCCATCTTTTTCAAAGCAGAACTTTTCCCAAAAGAGGAAGTTCCACTTGTTTTCCTCCCCCCCCACTGCCACATTTGGCACTTTTATGGGGGGAGAGGGAGTGGGTACCTGGTTTTGACAGGTACCCACTCCCACATTTGGTCAAATGCGCCACGATGATCTGAACCAGAAGTTTGGCCCCCTCCATCCCCCATAGCCTTCTGGGACATTTCACAGGTCCCAGAAGGCTGCAGGACCATGCACACAGTGCAGCGCTTCGCGCATGCGTAGTATGAAACCAGGCAAGTCTAGGAAACTAGCCCAAGGCTTCACTGACGGTTTCCCTTAGCTAAGATGCCAGTGCCTGCACCTGAAGCCGATTGAAGAATCGGCTCAGGTGAGGACGTTGCTGGATCCCTGGACAGGTAAGTGTCCTTATATTAAAAGTCAGTAGTTATAGTATTTGTAGCTGCTGACCTTGATTTTTTTGGGGGGAGCCTGGAGCTCCAATTTAAACTGTTTATTTAATCCGTTTATTTAGTCTGTGTGGAGAGCTGCAGATATATCTTGGGGGATGTAGAAATATCACTAAGGGGTTCAAGGCAAATCAGGGGACTTTGTGAGTGAGAGTGGAAGAAGGTGTGTGTCTGCAGGTCACATTCTAGGCTACACCTAAGCGCTGTAGTTTTTGCTGATGACTATATCCACATATTTTGTGCACTATGCATGCATAACCTGTGTTTTCCCATTATTCTGTACGCTATCCCCATTATTCATTATACTTTTCCCATTAATCTGTACGCTAAAGAAGAAAATACCAAAATGTCACAAGAACCATGTTGCAGCTCCAAGAAGTAACATACATGATTTATCCTTTTCAGGTCAACTGGATGTCCAGAAAAAGGATTCGGAGCTGTTTTGCCACACCATAATAAAGATCACATGAAAATGTGAGTTTACAGAATGTCAAAACTAAAATTTCAAAATGTATTTTCTTTCTTGTCCATTAAGAGACACAGTTGTCTTTAACATTCATATTATACTGCCACCTACAGGAAGACTGGACACTGACAAACTGTACGGCAGTCCAGGATAACAGTTCCATGCCTCTTGGGAGGATGGACACAGGGCCGGAACAATGGGTAGGCAGGAGGGGTGGCTGCTCTGGGCACAGTGATATTATGCGAGGTGGGGGGCTGCTGCAATTTGTGTTGGAAGGGGGAATTTGGGGGGTGGCAGGGTGTAATAAATGTTCAAGGAGGAAAAGTTTGGGGAGGCTAGGAGAGGAAATTTGGGAGGATTTTTTTGGGGAGGGGAGATGGGGAAGAGGATCTGTGCTAGGAGGCGGGATTTAAGGGGTTTGTGCTAGAAGTGATATGGTAGAGGGTGGAGGGGATTTGTGCTAAGAGGGGACATTTTTTGGGGGGGTATTTGTGCTAGGAGGGCAAATTTGGTGAGGGGGAGGATTTGTGCATTGGGGGAGGGGGATTTGTGTTGGGAGGGGTGGATTGGGAGTGGGGGGAGAGGATTTGTGCTCGGAGGAGAATTTTGAGGGGTAGAGGATTTGAGCTAGGAGGGGTAATTTTTTTGTGTAGGGAGGATTTGTGCTGGGGAGAAAGAGGCTTTGAGCTGGCAAGGGGATTTCAGTAGGATTTGTACTGGGAGGAGGGAGTATTTATGCTTAGAGGGTAAGCATGCAGATTAGTGCTTGGGGTTTTTTTTGTTTTTTTTTTTTGAGGGGGGGGATTTTTGCTGACACATAATGCTTATACATCTTGGGGGGGGGGGGCACAGTTTGGCATGTTCATTTTGGCTTTAGATGTCATTATTCCAGTGCTGGATGAACATCTTTTCTTTCTCTATTGAAAGATTAGCCTATTTTTGTTATTACTTCAGTCAAGACTTTTATCTACACTGTTGCTGGAGCTTGGTCTCTTAAAGCTATTCGGCACAGTGATCCTCAGGCTGACTTTTGAAAATGGCAAAGACTTATCTTGCATATGCTTTTCCTCTGTAGATATTGGAAACATCCTGTGTTTATTACTAGAGATGAGCGAATTATTCAAAAATTCGATTCGGCTGATTCGGCGAATTCGCGGAATAAATTCGATTCGAGTCGAATATATTCGCTGCGAATTTAACTTATAAAAAGGGTGTTTCTAGGCTTCAGAGAGCCTTTATATTAGTGCAGAACACTGTACCTTTAATTTAAATGCCCTTGGAGTCTGCTGGGGAAGAGAAATAATACTGTCAGTCAGTATGACATGCAGATGAGTGCCGTCGATCTTAGAATCCCCGCACACTTCACTCATTTGGGCAGTCACGGGAACAAAACCAGAGTGTGGAGCCACAGTGTGGCGGTGGAGGCAGCACCAATGGGAGGCCATACAGCACCCTATGACAAAATGGAACCCACCAGCAGTGTGAGGAGACCTGAAAGTGGCACATGGCAGAGTGTGGCGATGGAGACAGCAGCAATGGGAGGCCGTACAGGGACCCATGACACACTCTGGACCTGGCAGCAGCATGAGGAGGCGGTACAGGGGCCCATGACAGATTACGGGCCTGGCAGCAGCATGAGGAGTCAGTACGGGGGCCCATGGCAGATTACGGGCCTGGCAGCAGCAATGGGAGGCCCGTAATCTGCCAGCACCCTATGACAAAATGGAACCCACCAGCAGTGTGAGGAGACCTGAAAGTGGCACATGGCAGAGTGTGAACAGAGTCTGAACGAGCGGAAGATGCCAACGAGCAACAGCTCCCCTCAGCAGAGGTGTTGGAGCCTTGACTGGCTGATAGAGGGCGATTGACGTCGGGTGACGGAGCAAGTAACGGAGCGGGTGATGGAGCGGGGGCTGGGGCAGGCAGAACCGCCGTATCTTTATCACGGTTTTCCCAGGCCACCGAATGGCGACGCTGCATATGCTGACGCAACGCTGTAGTCCCAACATGGGCCCCCTGGCCACGCTTGACTTTCTGGCCACATAGTCGACATACGGCTACATTTACTTCCTTGGGCGGCTTGCCTAAAAATTGCCACACCGCCGAGTAGGAAACTTTGCCCCCGCTACTCCTCACTGGCTGACTGCTACTTCCTCCGTGCACACCGGCACCACTACTGGCCGTGGTGGTAGGCTGCAGTGGAGCTGGTGCTCTACTCCGTGGCCGTTTGCCTCCACTGACACTGCTGCGACCCTGCTGCCTCCTGGGCAACCCACCGACTGTTTTGCTCGCTGCCAAGCTGGCACCCTCTTCTCCTGATGATGCGGAAGCAATAGCCTGATGACGACGAGGCTGCCAAGTGCGATCAGCCTCATCATCATCAATTAGGGTCTCCGCCTCACTACTAGCCCCCTCGGCTGCGTGTGGGTCAGGAGACAGACCTGTCTCTACACCGGCTACCGAGCCACTCTCCTCGCCAGTACTTCTTCGCCTGGCTGCTGAAGAGGCGGATGTCTCCCCCCGTTCCTGACCGCCCTCTGTTAGCTCTTCCTCACTGTACAGTGGGGCTGAGCCCACAGCATGCGATACTTCGCTTGGTGAGGGAACACCAAAGGACAGGGGCAGGTAGAGGACACGTGATTTCAGTGGGCTTGCTCCCGGGCCATGCCAACTAACGGTTGTGTCTGACGTACCCACCGACCGTTGGCTGTAGGTGTCAGAGGTGACCTGGGAAGAGGAAGACGACCGAGCCAACCAATCGATGACGGCAGGGTTGTCGGTGGAGACACGACCGCTGGATGACACCGGGAGCACTGGCCTCTGGCTGCGACTAGTGCTGCCTCGACCCCTTCCTCTGCTGCCACATCTGCTCGCTCCTGAAACATTGCCTCCTCTGCCACTCCTCTGCGTGTTGTCTGACATACTCTTTAATTCAACGATTCTGTGTCCCTGAGTAACGATTCTGTGTCCCTGAGTAACAATTCTTGTCCCTGAGTAACGATTCTGTGTCCCTGAGTAACGATTCTGTGTCCCCGAGTAACGATTCTGTGTCCCCGAGTAACAATTCTGTGTCCCCGAGTAACAATTCTGTGTCCCTCAGTAACGATTCTGTGTCCCTGAGTAACGATTCTGTGTCCCTGAGTAACAATTCTGTGTCCCTGAGTAACAATTCTGTGTCCCTGAGTAACAATTCTGTGTCCCTCAGTAACGATTCTGTGTCCCTGAGTAACGATTCTGTGTCCCTGAGTAACGATTCTGTGTCCCTGAGTAACGATTCTGTGTCCCTGAGTAACGATTCTGTGTCCCTGAGTAACGATTCTGTGTCCCTGAGTAACGATTCTGTGTCCCTGAGTAACAATTCTGTGTCTGTCCCTGAGTAACGATTCTGTGTCCCTGAGTAACAATTCTGTGTCCCTGAGTAACAATTCTGTGTCCCTGAGTAACGATTCTGTGTCCCTCAGTAACAATTCTGTGTCCCTCAGTAACAATTCTGTGTCCCTGAGTAACAATTCTGTGTCTGTCCCTGAGTAACAATTCTGTGTCTGTCCCTGAGTAACAATTCTGTGTCCCTGAGTAACAATTCTGTGTCCCTGAGTAACGATTCTGTGTCCCTGAGTAACGATTCTGTGTCCCTGAGTAACAATTCTGTGTCCCTGAGTAACGATTCTGTGTCCCTCAGTAACAATTCTGTGTCCCTCAGTAACAATTCTGTGTCCCTGAGTAACAATTCTGTGTCTGTCCCTGAGTAACGATTCTGTGTCCCTGAGTAACAATTCTGTGTCCCTGAGTAACAATTCTGTGTCCCTGAGTAACGATTCTGTGTCCCTAAGTAACGATTCTGTGGCCCTAAAGTCTCTGTGGCCCTAACTCTGTCCCTAATACACAGAGGTCTGTCTCTCTTGAATGACTGGAGGCTAATGGAGAATTCTAAGATGGCCGCAATTTATAGCTCCACCATTACACAGTGCTGGCTGGCTGGCTGCTGATTGGCTAATGCGATCACATGTCATGAATGAATGCATTATGGGTCAGCGCGCCTTGTCTGCGCGCCTTCCCAGAGATCCCCGCTCCGTCGCCACACATGTCGCCGCCATTTTTGGGAAAATTCGATTTGTGCATCCGAAGTTTGCTAATTTTCGGATTCGGCGCGAATCGAATTTTTCCTGATCTTCGAAACGAATTCCACTTCGCCATGTTCGATTTGCTCATCTCTATTTATTACCCTTGTATCCATTTGGCGCAGATGTGGTCTATTCCCAATGTCTTGTCTTAAAGTTGAACTAAATCCATTTGATTGATCAAGTTTTCCTCGGCATGCGGGAGTGCCCCAATTTTCAGAATGGGGTGCATTGTTAACCTTTGCAAACGCTTGGACAACATACATCTCCAATGCATGTATATGGGGGGGTGGTATCCCAGGGCAACTAATTAGAGTTTTACTCCCTGGCCCTCAGTTTTTCACCTCTAACCAGCCTGTGCTACTACACAGATTAGCAGATCTCCATCAAGGTTTCTTATGTCTTTTCAATCAAGGTGTCATTACCCCAGTTCCTGTGATAGGACAATTTCAGGGTTTTATTCCAACCTGTTCACCATTTCTAAACCGAAACAGAGGCATGTGTGCCATACTGTATTTAAAGCTCAGAATGTCTTCAGAAGTTCTGCATGGAATCCACCACCCTTAACCAGGGAAACTTCTGTGGACATCAAGAAAGCAAACCTACATGTCCTCATCTAGCATATCAACATTTCTTTCATATTTCTGTGGGCCCCCTACACTGCCAGTTCATGGCCTTGCTCTTTGGCCTCTTGTCTGCACTTTGGCTGTTCACCAAGATTCTGGCTCCAGTATTAGTCCTGGTGTGCATCCTCATTGTGGGATATCTAAAGCTGAAGTTATGTTTTAGTTATGTGTCATGGTGTGAAAGAAAAGGAGTGTTGAGCATGCAGCCCACCTGCTATGCTGGGACCAGTCCTCATTCCCTTTAGCATTGGGGAGGGGGGTGCTTTGAGAGGGCTCCCCACCAAAGCACTGGTTTCCTGATGCTGATGGGCACCGGGCTCTTCCGCACTCCTAATGCCCAGGAGGGGGTGCAGACAATGGAGGTTTACAGTGTGTCCCATCTACCTGCCCCTGATTGAGGGAGAATAGGTGTATGCTCCCTCCCTGATGAACAAGTTTTAGGGTCCCTCTGGACTCCTAAATGTAAACTTTAAAAAAAAAAAACACAACGTACAAAATAAAAAATAATTTACCTTTTCAGAGTCCAGCAATCTCTGAAGATGTCTCATAGTGTTAAATTAAAGTGATATTAAAGGCATTCCCCGTCGACACTCCTGGCCCCTCCTTCCTGCCGAGTGCCCCCAGAGCAAGCAGCTTACTATTGGGTCACCCAAGCAGGCTCGCTCCTGAGCCACTGCTCTGCTTGTCCATACAGAAACGTGGCTTAGCCCCTCCCCCTCTCTCTCCTCATTGGCTCTCTGGCTGTGATTGACAGCAGTGGCTCCCGCTCTTGTCTCATCCATTGAGGAGGGAGGGTATGCAGAGAGCTGAGGGTCTTGTGCACATCGCTGAATCACGATAGGGCTCAGATAGGTATTAGGGGGTGCTGGGGAGCTGCTGTACACTGAACCTTGAGTCTTTACAACCACTTTAAGTATTGGACCTCCTTCCATTCTGCTCACTCTTGCTTGAGACCTGTCATATTTCCCACATTGAGCCTCTGTTTGATGTGCCCAGGGAACTCTGGGATGGAGATCCCTGTGACATCATTGCCCATATTTGGACTTGCACAAATAATCTAAAAAATATATATATTTTAGTTCTGCTTTAAATGGGTTGATCCATTTTATAAAAACCTGTGACACTGGCTACTCTAAGCTGTAGAAACCATACATTACCTTAGTGTGGCAGACAATGGAGAAACTAACTACCTTTCTACACATTTTTTATATTCTCATATGGCTTTTCCATGCCTGTCAGTTACTTAGAAAACAAACTGGCCTTTCTATCTTTTTTCCTATCTTATAACTAGCATAAAATGCCAGTTGAAAGAGGATTTGTTGTTACCATATAGTAAAAGTGTCAACTACAGTGCTTGCAATATGTAATGTTCCATTCAAATAATTGCTTGTTTGGATTATTACAGTTAATTCTGTGCAGACAAACCCACAGAAACTTCCAAACTGCATTTTCTTGTGGCCTACAATACAGTTTTTGAATGCATATCAGTTAGAGAAATAACATCAATTATTACTGCATTTTGTAGAGTAATCAAACACAATTGGACTAATGATGAAAATGTTAGATTTGCCTTTACCATAAACGATGAGTACACTGATCATTTACTGTGAGAATATAATTAGCAGTTAAAGTAACAAATTCATTCCCTCCCTAAGAAATGTGTCAGATCCAAATGATCTCACAAGTCATGCAGACATTTTAATGTATCAATAACAATAACACTGTTATTAAATGGGTAATGTAGTGTCAGAGTAAGAAAATTTAATATTTACTACTGCTTGTGCTTTTGTGCTTTTTATCTGTCATTAAAGTAAAAAAAATGGTAATAAGGGGCTTGCATGTCTTTTATTGTCACATAAAGTCCAACTCCAGCCAAAACATATTTCCAGATGAGATAGAAAATGGCTAGAACCAGCTGCCTGTATCTCCTTTATTTCCTAGGTGATCACTGAGACAGAAAGTGCGGGGGATGCTTTTCAGGTGGGCATATACAGTAATAAATCAAGTGTGGTCACTGAGACAAGAACTGAAGGAAAACAACCCCAAATGAATAAAATGTTTACTGCTACTTTGCCCTCACTGGGGAGATTTCGCTCATTTTTATAATGCCTGTGACAACCTACCTTTCAGCTACAGTAAATTGCTGTTATTATTAACTATTCTTTCTAATAAAATATAAAGAAAAAAACATGGTATTATTAATAAATTAGGCTGAATGATCTTCTGTTTATTGTATAGACAAATGATTGTGTACACATTAGATGTGGAAAGCAAACTCATGTTCATCAGGGATGGAAGTTGCATTTCGTCTGTCTAGACTGCATGTCAGTCTCATGTCAGAAGCGTACATTTCTGATGACAGCTCTCTTTTCTGTCACCTTTCATCCCAGTTATATGGTAACTATTGAATAATACATTTACTGGCCTATAAAGTAGTGAGCACCGTGAATGACATCCTCTTCCTCTGATTACTGAGCTGTGCTATAATTTACAGCAGAGCTCCAGGAATTGATAACCTTTATTACACTAACCACTGCTAAATGTCCTCCCTATTTTCTCATTGTACCCGGTATAAAAACTACAATCAGTGTGATTTATGAGTGTGGCATGATCAATGTTTAACTTAAAATTCAACTAACAATTAGATTTTAATTAAAAATACTAGTGATGTTATAATGGCTTAAATAAAGTTATATTCAGGGCAATTCAAAGCTCATCTCTTTCAACTCATAACTCAAACTGTGCAGAATTAAAGGGACCTGATTTTTACCTTTTTAAAAAAATTGTAGATGTAAACAAGTTGACTTCTGTTATTTCTGTATTATTCCAAAAGATCAGAGTGTTATACCATGGTATACACAAATGCAACACCTCCTGCACTCAGGGACCCAGATCAGTAGGCAGCAGGGGCGGACTAACCATTTGGAAACTCGGGCACTGCCCGAGGGCCCGGGGTCAGTAGGAGGCACCATGAGATGCCCCTGGTACCTTTTTTCATAGGCTTTTTTGAGTTTGGGCAAGGACACAGGGGCCCCATGATCCCCTATTGCCCGGGGGCCCCATGAGTTGTCAGTCCGCCCCTGGTAGGCGGCCGATGGAACAATACTATTGGAGAGTATGGGAATTCATCCAGAACCGATCAAAGGCTGTGCAGCTCTAACAAAAAGCTGGGGAAGCTCTATACAAACTGTAGTGGAGAACAAAAGACAGAGCGCACTAACTTTATGCATTGCCTCAGTAAACAATTAATTGATTTATTGATTTAGGAGATATACCCACAAACGTAGTAGTAAAACAAGCATGTAAAATCCCAAATCGAACCACACGTTAAGGAGACATGTGCGCATCCCATCAGAAGGGGAGACTCTCAGCGTGACTGTGATGCGTTTCAAAGGGGGGTCCCTTCTTCATCAGAGCTCTGATGAAGAAGGGACCCCCCTTTCAAAACAATTCAGCGTCAATCTGAGGGTCTCCCCTTCTGATGGGATGTGCACGTGTCTCCTTAACGCGTGGTTCGATTTGGGATTTTACATGCTTGTTTTACTACTACGTTTGTGGGTATATCTCCTAAATCAATAAATCAATTAATTGCTTACTGAGGCAATGCACAAGGTTGGTGCGCTCTGTCTTTTGCTCTCCACTACAGTTTTTATACCATGTTATCAACATGGGAAGGAAGAAAACTTACAGTACTACATTTTATTTACAGACTGAAAAGTGAAACGTTTAAGACTTAGATTGCTTCATCTGGATACAAATTGCAAAATAGCAAAAGTCAGTTGTACTATGATTAAAACCAGTTCTATCAAGACTATGACATTTAAAAAAAAGTTCTTTATACAGTAGATATAAACACGTATTTCATTTTTTACATGTTGATTGTGATTACTTTGCTTTTTGCTCTACTTTGTAGACATCTGGACACAACATATGCTACAGACTACGTGGCCCCTTATAGTTGCACATCAACTTTAGTAAGTATTTCTTTTGATTTACATATCTATTTATTTCAGTTTGAAATATTACTGAAACTGGATTGTTGATATGTTTTGTTTTATGTAAGCAACTTTCGGACCTACATGACTAAAGGGTCAAATCACCCAATAGCGCTGTTTCATTTGTATGTCAAACCGGAGGGTTGAGCTACTTGTGGAATTCTTTTATCTCTTGGGGTCTTCAGCAGTGAGACCTCTCTGCTATAGTATTACCTTTGGATATCTGTGCCCCACTTCCCCTTTTGCAACCTTCATAATATAAAATGAATGTAAAATCCAAAAGGCAAAGTTCAAGGACTTTGCAATGGCCATGGTAAGCAGATACACACACTGACACAGGACTCCTATAAACATAAGATTTCAATGGGGTATATTTACAAAAGGAGTAGGTGCTGCTCACTTAGCAAATAATTGTTACTGAATGGGGTGAAGCTGTGTTTTTATATACAATGTTAATGCCTATATTTGAAATGCTTTTTTTTTTTTTTTAAAGCAATTAATAGTCCAGTAATAAAGCAGCTTTGATGCATTATTTACCATCAGTCTGGTGCTTTCCCCACAGTAATTCTTTCCAGAGAATTTAAACATCTAATTGGTATAGTCATTTTTTTGTTCATTTAATGTTATAGGATTTTATTGAGTGTGTAATGGGAAGAAAAAAAATAGCTAATATAAACAAAATGCCTTATAGCATTTTAGATTAGAAGAAACAGACCAGGATAGACAACAGCTTTGACACAGGCTAGAAACAATAAGGTGGGATATAAGAATAACACAATTGGGAAAAGTCTGAACAGGATGTTAAGTATTGACAGGGAGATAAAAGGAGTATGTAGGGGTTTTGATAAAGTATTGTCTGGTGTGATCAGAGACAGATGCTAAAGAAAAGGCCTTTCACTACCACACAGTCATAACATCACATGTACAGTTGCAAGAAAAAGTATGTGAACCCCGTGGGATTATGTGGAGTTTTGCATGAATTGGGCATAAAATGTGCTCTGAACGTCATCTAAGTCACAACAATAGAAGAGCACAGTCTGCTGAACATAATACTACACAAACATTAGATGTTGCCATGGTTTAATTGCACATAACATGTAAACATTCACAGTGCAGGGAGGAAAAAGTATGTGAGGCCCTAGCTTAATGACTTCTCCCAGAGCTAATTGGAGCCAGGAGTGAGCCAACCTTGACTCCAATCAGTGTAATGATATTGGATGTGTTGCTGACAGCTGTCCTGCCCTTAAAAAACAGACCTGTTTTGGGTTTTACTGGTTTCAAGAACCACTGTCTGATGTGAACCATGCCTCGCAGAAAAGAGCTCTCAGAAGACCTACGATCAAGAATTGTTGACTTGCATGAAGCTGGAAAGGGTTACAAAAGTATCTCCAAAAGTCTTGATGTTCATGTGTCCACGGTAAGACAGACTGTCTACAAATGGAGAAAGTTTAGCACTGTTGCTACTCTCCCTAGGCATGGTCGCCTGTAAAAATGACTGCAAGATACAACCAAAAATGTAAATGTATTTTATTGGAATTTTATGTGATAGACCAACACAAAGTGGCACATAATTGTGAAGTGGAAGGAAAATGATAAATGGTTTTAAAAAGTTTGTACAAATAAGTATCTAAAAAGTGTGGTGTGCATTTGTATTCAGCCCCTTTTACCCTTTATACCCCTAACTAAAATCTAGTGGAACTAATTGGCTTCAGAAGTCACTTAATTATTAAATAGAGTCCACCTGTGTGTAATTTTATCTCAGTATAAATACAGGTGTTCTGTGAAGCCCTCAGAGGTTTGTTAGAGAACATTAGTGAACAAACAGCATCATGAAGACCAAGGAACAGACCAGACACGTCAAAGATAAAGGGCCTGGCATGGATTGGTGGGGGGACCCCACGCCGCTTTTTCTTAATTTTTAATTGCCATCAATTCTTTTTTTTACATTCAGCTGTCAACGTGGATCACTCATTACATTACCACATGTTTTCACTACTATAATACAGGGTGCGGCAACATAACTTCCTTTTTTCAAAACGCAATAAAACCCATTTTATGAATCAGAATTGTTTTTATTGTCTTTAATAATGTAGGTACATATCTAAAGTTCTGTTTTACACAGTTTTGAAAATCATATCGGGTAGGTGACGTCCCCCATTGTCCATACACTGAATAAGCCGATTTCTGGCTTTTTTCATGACCCTTACCAGCATAGCAGTGGGTATGTTGACAATTTTCACGCGGATGTTGGCCTTCAGGTCTTGTAGGGTCCTTGGACGGTTTACATAAACGCGGGATTTCAAAAAACCCCACAAAAAAAAAGTCGCAAGGGGCCAAACTGGGGGAGCGGGCTGGCCACTCCAAATCGCCCCTTATTGAGATAAGGCGCTCTGGGAAGTGTTCCCTTAATACAGCCATTGATGCTCTTAAAGTGTGAGCCGTTGCTCCGTCCTGTTGGAACCAAATGTCCCCTGAGTCCAATTCATCAAGTCGTGGAAAAACAAATTCCTCCAACATGTTCACGTTCGAAAAGTAGGCCTCTACGGCAAACGCACGCTGCTCACTGTTCCAACGCATGATGATGACTGACCTGGAAGAGAACAAAAACTTTAGAACTACGCCTGTCGCCTGAGACCACTGCCGCCCCGCTATGGCTGCTACAGCCTGAATTGCATGCATTTCAAAAAAGGAAGTTATGTTGCTGCACCCTGTACATAACTTCATAAAATAACTCGGTATTTTAGTAGCGTTTTTAGTGAATGCCAGCAAACTTTTTGAAAAACGCTGTGCGGTATCTTACCACATACTTGGATGGGGTAAGATAACGCTTTGCAACTTGTCCTCATAGTCCTACAATCCTCATGCCCTTCTCCACAGCATCCAAAGGAAATCTTTATTGCTTGGACATAGAGCCATTAGAATATTCCTTTATGCTACAGCTCTGATCAGGAAGGGACACCATGCTTTCAATTCCACCATCCCAAGATGGTTAAGAAGTATGATCGCTAGAGCTTATTCCCTCAGGGAAAATCCCTTCCTGTGCTTTTATGCACCTATTCTACCAGATGGATGGGACTTTCATGACGGTTCAGAACCAGCTAAAGCTGTGTAAGGCAGTGACTTGTTCCTCTGTTTCTCTGTTCATACTTTCTCATGGTTCAACTAGGTGGATGTCCAATCTTCTGTGGAAGCAGCTTTCAGCCGCAAGGTTCTTGCAGCACCAGATCTTAGAATGTCATATGATGAGCTTGCTGGAGTAAAGCCCCAGAACTCTTATCTTTTAGGTGTGGGTTGTAAAGACACAGAGTTGATGAGGCAGCAAGTTGAGGGTGCTATGTTCAAGTGTGTGCATGTGAATAAATGTATTTTTTGGGGTGAGGACAATGCTGTGTTGACTGAGACAACAGTGAGTAACATTTTGCCCTGCGTTTTAGCTAACTAGGTTAGTTTAAATTGCAAAGGCAGAAAAATCTTAGTAAATGTTATGAGCTCAAAAATGTGTCAACCCATTGTGTTTCTCTCTTAAAATAGGACAACAGAGCAGTATAACAGCATCAGTGGGGCTTCTTCTCTCACGCTGAGTCAGCCCAATATCTGTTTTTAAAATAATTACAGTGAAAATATACATAATACACACACAAAGAGGAATTGTACATGCTTGTTAGACCACACAAGCTGTTGGCAGATATTTTCATATTTTATCTTTTAGGACATACAACCATAAATAATACCTAATATTTTTTTACAGTTCTTTTATTCTGGAAGCTTTTCAATTTCACTGTTTTCTTTTTAATTCTTTGAACTTTATTAGCAAGAGTATTTCTATTATCAAGTTGATTCTAACGGTGATTAGCCTGAAAGTTATTTGTTGCTGAAACATAATCATATCTGTGCTTGATGGCTTAATAGATGTTAAAGAGAACCAGTTTTACTCTAATGATTTCATTTAGATGCATCAAGTATTACCTACTAACTCGTCCAAAAATGACTTTTAATTTCCTTCCACCACTCCCTGATTACCATATAAAGCTTCATTATAATTGATGACTGGGCCTCTTTTATGAAATACTATTTTTTGTGCAGCCAAAGGTTAGTTTATTGTTCTGTCAGCCTAGTAATTCATCTTTTTGATTTGCTTACATAGTGACATGGAGGTAAAGTACGCTCCAAAGAAAACAAAATATGTTTGCAATGTTATTTTTCAGCATTGAAAATTAATTCTTAATGGGTGATGCTGCTTTGCTAATATGCAACAATGAGGATCATCCCTATTAGTTATGTATTGTTCAAGATACATTAAACCTCATCTCTGGGCAATTGTTTTAACCTTCTCTCCCGTCATCACAATCATTCAATTATGTTCTGTTTAGCTAATGGCACCAGCACATGTCCTCCGCCAGTGCCTCTCCCTGGAGTAGAGACCAGTGATCCAGTTCCGAAGTCTATGAATTCCCCCCCTCCATCTTAACATCACAATCTAGCTGCCAGCCCTCATTGTGATATCATTTCACTGCTGCAGGCTTCTAGAGAAGCCTGGTTATGAGAAGACTCCGGAGCTTGCATGTCTTCTAATCATTGACTTAAGTTCCTTTAAAGGAATGTTCAGATATTTTATAAATCCAGCAATTAGTTAGAGGGCAGTAGGGACTCAATGGTAGCGGGGTGGCATTCCTGAAGATCAGCTTTAACTCCGCTTCATGTAACTGCACCTTGCAATACTACTTGATCTTTTAAATTACCTAAATATGACACATTATGGGGCAGTTGACATTTTTTGGGAATTTAGTTGAGGAATCCACCAGAGTCTATGGATATGCAGCACTGATCAATAGTCTACACTGATGCATCAAACAACTATTAATACCCTTGTTTATATTCAGTAACAACATTTCCATGTTATGGACAAAGCAAACATTAACTTTAAAGTAGCATATGTACTGCAAAACTGCAGATATTAAATGCAGCAAAAATCTGAAACAAAAGACTTTTGGTTATAAGCAGGCACAGAGGAGCCTTAAACGAGGTGTCTACATGTCCAATGTCTATCAAAATCCAAAAGGATGAGTGTTTATTCCTCAGTTTAGCAAGGTATTGAAGATGTCCCTCCTTTTGGCTGGTTTAAAGCACATGGAACACTTGCGTGCAATCTTTCCGGCAACAAACGTTCTGTGTCCAGAGCAAGACAAAATAGGGCCACACGGGGTCCCAATAAAAGAAAGAAACATGGAGCAAACACTTATAAAATAGGCACACAACATTCATACTTGCCTGCTTTCTCCCAATCATGAAATGTGCAGAAATAATAACTCTGCAGCAATTTTGGCATTTAGGAAGTGATACCCCCCTGGCAAAGCCAGCAGGGAAGCAAGGAAGCACATATAAGGCAGGTGAGTATTTTCCCAGCTATAGGATCACAAGTGTGACTTCAGCCTAATACTGGTATTTATTCCAAGCTACATATAGGTGTGTAAGGCTTGTTAGCCATCATAAGTGCAGTGCTTGGGAACCATGGCTTCTGTTGAGTAGGGCTTGAGAACCAACAAAACGTGTAACCAGACAGGCTATGCTGATGTGGATTAAAAAAAACTAAAATACCATAAATAAACCAGTACAAATCACAGCACGGCAAATATATAAACAAGAAAAGTACCCAGTGAAATACTGTGTTGTATTCTTTTCAATGAATGCAAGGCATTTTTTGATTGGATGAGGTGGAAAGGAGGGGCCTTTGACATCACAATATGCCCTTGTCCAATCAGATATTGCCTTTTATCTTCTGAAGAGAATACAACACATTTCTGAATGGAGGAGATGGCAAGCAGCTCTCTGTGTTCAGTATACCAGATGGTACCAGATGGTAAGTCACTCACCTACAACCCCCTGGATGTGATGTGATATATTGATCATTACAGGTAACCAAGCTGGTCCAATGTAAACTTTAAAAAGAGATTGGTCTTTTTGCCTAGGTTTACATCTGTGTGGGTTTGTGCAAGCATGGCTACGGGGGCAATATCGCTTCTAATGCAAACGATTACTTACTTTTTTTCACTATACACCATTACATCTGTTGATATTTTTATTGAATAAATAATTGAAAAGGTACATTTTTCTTGTGTTTGTATTCAAGTATATAAACTTTATCTTTAGTCATTGTTGAACATGGTGATAAAGTCGATAAGTTTCAAGGGGTGTACTTAATTTTTCAAATGACGGTAGATGAAGAATGAAGGCCATATTGTATGTTGGTAACAATCCACTTCCTGCCCTCCCAGCATGAAAATATAATGTACATGTTTGAATTCTCAGAGCATGCTTGTGTATGTAAGTGCCAAAATCTCAACAGCACCTTTCTTTTTTCCCTGCTGGGGAAAGGGGACAGTAGGCTATCAGCTGCAAAATGGAACCCTGGCTGATGTTTGATGTTTCTTTTTTTTTTTTACCAATGATGGTGACCAAGGGAGACCTGCTGCATTTTAAGTTGTCCCAGAGACAGCATGATTGTTGTCTAATCTTATTGACAAGAACCAGGCTTTATACATCTGTCTGGAATTTCAGTAACAAGATCTCCGCAGCAAGCTTCATTGATACCGTATTTTTATTCTACATTAAGAACAATGCAATAACAGGAATAGGGCCCTATGTTCTGAAAATTAGGAAACTGGATATGCTGCTGGGGAACTCTCTAATTTGAGGTCCCAAAGGACATAAAAATAAATTGAATGATACTGTATGTTTTCATCATAGTTCAGTTTCATGAAATATCAGGGTGTGTGTACATTTTTGAAGCAGAAATATATTAACAGTAAGTGAGCAAACAGAGTTTAGGATTTTCCTGTTGTCATGGAGAGTTGTACTGTTCAGAAAAAAATGCACTTGGGAATTGGGAGTATTCATGTCTATTTTTATTGTAAGGATTTCACTTAAAGGCAATTGTTGGTGCTCTGGAGCTGATCCTCAGATCTTCATGTAGCTAAGTCGGTAAATAAGCGATAAATGCAGCATGAAACCCTGGAGGGAGAACATGAGAATAGATTCAAGGAAAACTTTGCCTTATTAACTTTTTTTTAACTTTCCGTACTTTCTATCCCCTTTTATTTCTTCAAGCAATGCAGATTTTACGATTGAACTGTATAATGATTTGTTTGTTAACTGTTAATTTACTCAGCATTTTAAAATGCTTTAAGAAAATGTATGTATGTGTTTATCTAACAGAAAGTTCCAGAAGTCCCAAACTACTCTGCAGCCTACAAGAAATGCCATTCCCAGTTTACAGACAATGCAGATTATAGAAGGCATGGTAGAAACACCTGGCAAGATGAAAGTGGCATGTATGCCAATGGTCAAATGAAGCAACTTGTGTTCAAGCCAACCTGCCCTTTAACACCGCACCTGTGAAGATAACATGCACAGCATGGCCATCCATCTGTTCTCACTGAAATAAAAGAACACTTTTTTAATAATGAGAAAACTAGCCTTGAAATGAAGTGAAATTACACATTTTAGTAACCAGTATCCTGCAGCAGGATCTCCTGATCCCATTCCCTTCATGACCAGTATGTCAGTATGATTTTTGTCAAATTATTATTATACAGGATTTATATAGCGCCAACAGTTTGCTCAGCACTTTACAATATAACGGGAGACAATACAGCAACTATACAGTTCAATACAAGAGGGATAGGAGGGCCCTGCTCCTTGAATTATTTGTAGAATCCAAAAGAATTTCTGTGCAATATGCAAATCTGTTTTTTTTAAAGGTTTTAGAGAACACTGTCTTTACAATAAACTGTTTCAGTGTCATAGACTTCAGACTTTGCATAATTAAATTTTAAAAAATTAATTTTCCTTGTGTAATGTAATAAGTAATATAGTAAGTCATAAGTTAAAAAAATATAACTAAGGTTTGCAGCGGGCATATGAGAGTTGGGAATTGTTCACGTTGACACTTTACCCTTAGGGTCCATTCACACTAGAATGCAGTGCTGGAAAGCCGAGGTACTGCGGGGCTTCCTGCACCACATTCCAATTGCAATGACCTTGCCATCTGCTGCGGGGGTCACTTCAAAGTTATGGACACCCCAAATAAAGGTTGCAAAAGCATTGCGTTTACCTGCACTGGATCACATGGTACAGAAGTACCATGCAATGTGGTTGCATTGCATTTCAAAAAGTAGTTCATGCACTTCTTTTGGTGTGGTGCGATTTTAGCTCATTCAAAATTAATAGGGCTGAAATCGCACTGCATGGAACTGCATATGAAGCACACAGGAACTGCGCAGCATTCTTTTGTAATTCACATGCAGTTCCTACTGTGAATGGGCCCATGACACAGAGAGTATCAAAATACACCTTTACCATCGTAAACATGGAGCTATCATTGCTGTCTTGCGATTTGGAAGATGCTTGCTTTGTAATGTAACCTTTCTGGCTTCGATAGTGTTCGTCGTTGATTTGGAACAATTATGCAGATTACTGCTTGCTTTACTCTGAATTTCCACATATGCATATTTTTTTCGGTTCATGGCTCAAATAGAAATCAAACCACTGGGACAACATAACAACCATGCTACTAGCTTTTTAGAAGGAGGTAATCAATGGCAGCTCCCATAGCCCTCTCAAGAAACATTTATTCTTTAGGAGTTAGGATTTGGACAAACATCTATGCAAGATATCATACCTAACAATGACTCAAATATTGCACTGAATTAAAAAAACAAACAAACAGAAAGCAGCTGACTTTTAGATACAATACAAGAGGTGTATATGAGAATATGGGCTTGTATACTTCTCACACACTGTGCACATCTAGTACCAGTATATTGAAATGCATCCAGCAGCAGTGAATGTTCCACTGAGGGACCAGCATGGGGCAAACATGACTTAAAAGAACATTGACATTAGCTGCTGTCTTATGGTCTCCGTTATGGAACCTAATGGTGCCCAAGAAGATTCCATCCACTATGAACTTGTATCATAATGGCTGGAGGCAGTGGTGTATTTAGGTTTAATGCTGCCCTAGGCAACTCAAAAATCGGCTCTCCCCCCCCCCCCCCCCCCTGGAGAGACCCTGACACTGACAAATCCCCCCCCCCATGATAGGAGCCTGACATTGACCAACAACACCTTCCCACCCAAGAGAGCCTTCCACTACCACTGCCTCCCATACACTGGCAACCCCCCACCCCAGCGAGAGAGAAGACATTCACCTTCACAGCTCCGGACATCCCTGGAAACAAGAGTCAGGCTCTGCATACACCATAAAACAGCCCGCAGCCTCTCTCAGTTCCCACCTGGTCCCCATGCGGCATGTGTCCTTTCTTCCATCCCTTCTTTTGGGGGGCAGCGCTGTCCCCCTGAAAAATGCCGCCGTAGTCAAATGCCTTGTGGTAAATACATCCCTGGCTGGAGGGCCGCAAGTATGTAAACTACCCGCCATGCTGATATTATCCATATAACATTCTAGAAGAAGGTCCTAAAACTAAAGCATCCATTGAAATCTCGAGTCCATGTTGGGGTTTATTGGTGCTGGGGGGAGACTTACAGAAAAATTGAGAGAAATACATAGGCTGTTATTGCTGACCTTTTTCTGAAAATGCTACTTGTCTGCCTGTTTCTGGCTTCAGTACATCCCAATACATTAAACAGGTTCTTTCAACAGTTAAAAAATACATCTAGGGGGCCTATTTTCTTTAACAATCCTAAGTTGGATCGTATTAATGCGGAAGAGTTCATGTCCAACATCTTTCCCAGCCCCCCCACAGTAGTGTCCTCTGTCCCCCTTTACATCACCCCCACTGTAGTGTCCTGTACCCACCAATGCTGCATCCTTTTCCCCCCTCCCTCCACAGTAGTGTCCTGTACCCCCCAAAGCAACATCCTCTGCCTCCCTTCATACCAAATCCCCCCACTGTCGTATCCTCTGCCCCCTTCCCCCCAGTAGTGTCCTGTACCCCCCAAATCAGTGTCCTTTGCCCCCACACATCACCCCCCCCACTGTGTAGTGTCCTCTACCCTGCCCCATATCAGTGTTCTCTGCCATCAAATCCCTCAAAGCAGTGTCCGCTGTCCTTTTCTCATCAAAATCCCCCCACTGTAGTTTATTCTTTCCACCCTCCAACAGTGTCCCCTGTGTACCCCCTCCCACGGTGTCTCTTAAGCCCCCCCTCCCACAGAGTCTCCTGCGTCCCCCCTTCCACAGTGTCCCCTCTGCCCTCCCTTCCACAGTGTCTCCTAAGCCCCCCTCCCACAGAGTCTCCTGTGTCCCCCCTCCCACAGTGTCTCCTAAACCCCCCTCCCACAAGTCTCCTGTGTCCCCCCACCCAGGGGGGAAGGTGGGAGCAGGAGCTGACAGAGATCATAATACCAAGCTGGTGATTGGTTGCTAGGACAGCCTAGCAAGCAATCACTGAGCAGCTTCGAGCCCTGACCTTGCCCTCCATCCAGCACTATGCTGCCTCCTGCTCTCCGCTCCGCCGATAACATGAGAGTGGTGGAGGCTGGGGGAAGGCAAAACCACAACCAGGATCGACCTGTCGGCTCCCCGCAGTCGACTGGTCAATCACGGTTGACGGGTTGCCAACCCTTGCCATAGAGCTTTCATAGTAGTAAGACGTAGACTGTAGCATTTTGGAACAAAGTCAAAATTAACTGAATGGGGAGGTTGTTTATATCAAATGCTTTTTATCTGATGTGCCAGGCTGGGCAAACAGTGTTTTCCTTGCATTTCATTTAAACAAACAAAAAAAAAATGCTATTGTTGAATGTGAAGGAAGCAGATTGGACATATCACTTGTGGGGCTCCCTTTGCACTGCAGGGGTTAAATGCTCAATTTTTCTAAAGCCATGGCTTGAATTCTGAAAAAATTTTCTTTCAAAAAACCTTCGTTCTCTTTGTTCAAATTTCACACCATTAGTGGGCCACAGCCATGGCCAATTTTCGAGCGACCATCAAATTTTAGTGATTGGCCATGTTGGAAATTTTTTTAAACATGAACAAATTTCTAATCAGTGATGTGAGACTCATGCGAGAAATGTAATTGAAAGAGAAATGAGCATGAGCTATGACCTGGAAAGAAAAGAAAATTCTTGGCCACGAAAATTCTTTTCTGTAGCAGCATGAGGTGAAATTAAAGGCTTGGTTGGTCAAATTTCAAAATCAGTGGTGGCATAATTGAATTGCAAAATGCACAAAATGTCCTATTTTCTAAAGACAATTAGTTCAGAATTCGACCCATGTATGGCCTGCATTAGGAACACATAAATAGCAACTATATTTACCTCAAGCCAGCCATACATGGGTCAAATTCCAAAAAAAGTTTCTATCGAAAATTATCGTTTGAATTTCGCACCATTAGTGAGCCACAGCAACGACTGATTTTCAAGCAACTATTGATTTGAGTGATCAGGCATGTTGGAAACATCTTGCAAAACAAATGAATTTTCGAATCATTGATGGGAGAATCATGCCAGAAATGTAATTTAAAAAGAAATGAGCGAGAGCTGTGACCTGGAAAAAAAGAAGATTCTTGGCCATGCAAATTCCTTTCTGTAGTAACGTGAACTTGAAGGCTTGGTTGGTCGAATTCTGAAATCAATGGTAGCACCAATGGATTACAAAATGCATGAAATTTCAGATTTTCTAAAGAAAAGTGGAATTCGACCCATGTATGGCCTGAATTACTCCATGCTCTCCCAGGCCTTCTCCAGCTGGACAACTGGTCTCCCGAGTCCACTTCTCTCCACTTCTCTGTTGTTCACAGGCATTCTGACATAATCAAGTACAATGCAGGAACAACAATCTTGCATTGTAGGTGCAAACACCAAGGACCCACTGACAACCCAGTGCATTGGAGAGCAAAGAAGACCCAGCACTAGCATTTGAGTCTTACGGAGCTGAGAACCCCACTGCAAGGGTAAGGCAGCCCATTCATTGAAATTTTTTTTCCATTCAACCAGCAGGTTCAACAGACTCAGTGTGGATGGGGGAATCACTCCTGCAGAATTATTATATTCTGACAGTGTTTCCAGGTATAGCCTTCAGCACTGATCGTTCGGGAAACACCTGAAAGGTTGGTTGTACACAAGTCTCTGTTGAACAAGCCACATTTTGATCTAAATATGGCCAACTTAATGTTTTTCTCAAGTGTTCAGCTTTAAACATTTTGTATATCCGAAATATATCAGCACATGCTATGCATCTAATTTATTTGAAGCTACAGAGGTATGCATAATACAAATTATCCCTCTCTGTCTGTGCCTAAAACTGTGCTAATGGGAACATGTAATTACCACAGAAATGAAAACCAATATCATATTTCCAGTAAAAAAGACTTATACTGAGCTGTGGTAAAACAAATGTGAGGTCACAGTAGGGCAGTGTTTTTCTTTTCAGTCTC